GGAAGTGCTGCAGAGCTGTCCTGTGTCATGTCACCCCTCTGCCGTGTTCCCACAGGTCGGAGCTGCTTTGTACGCAATGGGGGCTGTGCAGAGACGTGTACTGACACGCACTGGGGAGTGCAGTGCTCCTGTGGGGCTGGCTGGGTGCTGCAGGCAGATGGGCAGAGCTGTGCTGGTAAGGAGAGGTCAGGGTATGCATGTTTCGGGCATGTGTGGCTTCAGCTACTGTGATGGGGGTCTCCTCAGAGCCAAGTGCTCCTATGGGAACACCTGCCTTGGTGTCATGCCTGGCCCCGCAGAGCCTGTGTCTAGTCATGTCCCAGCAGCAGCTAGTGCATTTTGGAGTTGGGGACCAGTTCCTGGTATCCAGGGAGCCTTCCTGTGGTCCGTGGGGGGCGGTAGTGGAGCTGTGTGCTCCTGGCTGCACCTATCTCCGCAGATGTGGATGAGTGCTCCCTGGAGTACAGCCCCTGCAGCCAGCTCTGCAGCAACACCCCGGGCGCTTTCAGCTGCTCCTGCCTCCCGGGCTACACCCTGTGGCATGGCACCACCTGTGAAGTGTCAGGTAGGGTGAGCTAGGAGCCTGGGCTGTCTGGAGGGGCTGCACAGTGCCCCCCACTAGCCCCAGCCCCACTCACTGTGTAACATTCCCTTTGCCTTGGCAGACAATGCGACACAGATCCTGGTGGCTGTGGGGCAGGATCTGGCCCTTCTGGATGTGCGGACCCAAGCCTACCGGCCCCTACTCTCCACTGAGACTGAACCCCGTGCCCTGGTATATGACCTGCTCCGAGAAACCTACTACTGGCTCACAGAGGATGGCGAGCTCCATGTTCACCACCCAGGGAAGGGCACGCAGCCCCTCTATCCAGGTGGGGAGGAATGAGGATGCTGGGTGCTTTAGTGGGGCTGAGAGGGGTGCTGAGAGCTGTCCTGCCACCCCAGCCCTGCGTCTCCCATAGAGAAAGGGACATCCTGGGTTTTGCTTCTCAGCCTTGAGCAGGGGTGGTGTGCCTTAAACTGCTCTGTCCCTACAGATGTCGAGGAAGTGAACAGCATCTCCGTAGACTGGTTCACTGGGCAGCTGTACTGGGCCAGCAGTCACCCTCCAGCCATCTGTGCGGGGCTCGGTGATGGCCGGGGCTATGTGACAGTGCTGGGTAAGGATGTGGCACCAGAGCAGTTGACAGTGCATCCTGCTGCAAGGTGAGAAGCCAGTGAGCCAGGGTTGGCCCAGGCTCCTGGGTGAGCAATGCTGTTGCTGACCACATCATGTCTGCTGTGGAGCTGCGGCAGCACTGGTGTTATGCCATAAAGTGGGTGCTTAGTGCTTGCCACCAGGTCTCTGTACTGGATCAACCGCGGGCAGAGAGGCCGAACAGTCATTGCTGCAGCTGGCATGGATGGCTCAAACCGGCGGGAGCTCACAGTGGTGTCCATGGAGGAGCCTGTGGGGCTGAGCCTGGACCATGTGGCTGGCAGGCTCTACTGGATCAGCGAGTACAAGGAGGTAGGGATGTGATGCAGGTGCTGGGTGGTGATGAGGTGAGATTTGGGACACTGGCCCTGTTCCACTGTGGTTATGGCTAAGACATTGGGGTCAGGGAGCAGTGTCTAGGTCTGGCACATGTTCCTGGGCTGGGAGGGGGAAGGCACCACTGTGGCTGTGTGAGAGTGTGGGGAGTGCCACACTGTCACCATGCCTTGCTTCATCCCCAGTCCATCGAGACACTGCGGGTGGATGGCGGCGGGCGGCACTCATTTCCTGCTGTCCTGCGGAGCCACATGGAGCCACTGGGCTTGGCTGTGTTCGAGAGCCGGTTCTTCTGGACCGATGGCACGGAGCTGATGTCGGCCACCCGGGCCTCTCCCCAGGAGCACGCGGTGTTGCTCCGTGCCCCTGTCTCAGCTTTCACTGTGCTGCATGTGCTGCACCAGCCTCCCCGTGAGTACCCTGCTGGTACCGTGATACCCTGATGCAACTCACCCACACCAGTGCAGGGCTGGCAGCACCCCCACTGCTTCCTGGGGGGCTGTGGGGGGCTGTGGGGGGTTCTGGAGCTCACTGGGTCCTGCCCAATAGCTCTCCTGGTCCTCTGGCAAGGGGTTATGGGTTTGTAACAGAAGGGATGTATAAACCCATGCATAATCCCATGGCTTTGGGGAGAGCCGAGTCCTCCTGCCCCATGTGATACTGGTACCCTGCCTGGAGTAGCTGGCCCATATCCAGCCCCAGGACAGCCTGAGGTTTTGGGGGATTAGAAGAGGCACAAGGTGTCATGGCTAACTGAGCTCTTAATGTTCCCTTGCTCCCAGGGGACACTGCTGCGTGTGCTCCTGGCCTGTGCAGTCATCTTTGTCTTCTGTCCCCTGTGCACCCTCGGGGCTACAAGTGTGCATGTCCAGAGGGTCTCTTCCTCCTGCCCTCAGGGAAGTGCGCAGGTGAGTGTGGTCTGCAGGGTGGCCTTGGCTGTCTGGGGAAGGATGAATCCCTGTGGGACTCGGAGCAGGGCCATAAGGGGCTGTGGCTTTGGTGGGATGAGGTTTGGTGGGGGCCTCTGGCTTTGGTGGGTTGAGATTCCTGACACACACCAATGCTGTTGCATTTCTGCCTTTGTTTATGCTGGTGACCCTGTCTGGTGCCCCTAGGGCCGCACTTACACGCTGCTCTTGTACCCCGCAGAGCTGTCCATCGTGTATGCATCAGGGAAGTCCATCTCCCTGGTGCAGGTGGGCCCTGGAGCACACAGCAAACGGGTGCGGGAGTGGCAGGACCCCCTCCACCTGCAAGATGTGGACTGGCAGAGGTCAGTGCTCTATGGGACAGATGACCGTGGGACACTGCTGCGTGTTGTGGGACACCCTGGCAGGAGAGAGGCCATTGCGACTGGGCTGCCAGGTAAGACCCTATAGGGTGATGGAGGGCATGCTCCCTTTCCTGGTGTTCCGTGAGGCCTCCTGGCTGCAGAGCACAGCTGCCCAATCCCATGGTACCCATCCTGGGGCTGCGCTGAGGCACTGGGAAGCTGTGGCCTGGTTTTAGGGGCAGGGGGGAACCCAGATGGAGGAGCAGGTTCATGGCACAGTCCCATAACTGCTTGTCTGCCCACTCTTGCCAAGTGTGCTCTGCCCGTGTGGACATCCGTTCGGGGGACCTGTACTGGCTCGCATGTAACCGGAGGGACATCGGGGTGATCCACGTGTCTGACATGACCCCGCGCATCCTGCACCGTGCTTACAGCAGCATCCAGCACCTCTTCTTGGACTGAGCAGGTTCATGGCACAGTCCCATAACTGCTTGTCTGCCCACTCTTGCCAAGTGTGCTCTGCCCGTGTGGACATCCGTTCGGGGGACCTGTACTGGCTCGCATGTAACCGGAGGGACATCGGGGTGATCCACGTGTCTGACATGACCCCGCGCATCCTGCACCGTGCTTACAGCAGCATCCAGCACCTCTTCTTGGACTGGCAGCGCGGCACTCTGTACTGGCTAACTGGCGGGCAGCCCCCGCAC